AAGGAAAGGTTTTAGATTTCCCCATTCCTAGAAACATTATTGCAAGTATGCTTGTTTCTGTCAATCTAAAGATGTATTTTTCAACGTCAGCAACAATGTGGATGCACTTCAACTCCCAGAATACCCCAGTCGGCATGCCAGCTGAGTCCATATACCTCTTAAAGTTGTTGAGGTTGAGAAACACTGGACTAAAAGTAGGCAAAAGATAGAGATTTCTTCAGAATTAATGGGAATTCTCCATTCTCCACGATCCTTCTCTGACCCAAGAGCTTTCATTTGTTTCTCTAAGAATTTTCTGGAAACATGGCTGGCACCAACTTGGGGGAAAATGACACCAACTTGGGCAAAGTTGTTATTTTTTTTCTATTGGGGTGAATTTTTCTCCACCCTCACAATGGGTTTGGCGCTAAAACAATCCAAAGCAATTGGTATGATTGGTGACTACCTTTTAATGCTCGTGAAAATACCTACTGACCCCTCACATCCTGGACATAAATTGTTTCAACTTCTACCCTCAAAACGATGCCGTAGAGCATTGCACACCAGAACAACTAGACACAAGGACAGTTTTTCTCTGAATGCCATCACTCTGCTAAACAACTAATCCCCACAACACTGTCAAATTATCTATTAAGACTGTATTACTATTATTCTTCTCTTCCTTCCTAGTACCTATCTCTTTCCAATTGTTTTATTTGTTTCCTAATATAATTTGTTTGCTTATTAGTAACCTTGACTATCACTAAGTGTTGTATCTTATGATTCTTGATGAATGTATTTTATTTTTTATTTTTTTATATACACTGAGAGCATATGCACCAGACAAATTCCTTATGTGTCCAATCACACTTGGCCATATAGAATTCTATTCTATTCTATTCTTTTCTATTCTATTCTATTTTATTCTATTATATCATTGTTTCTTCTTTATATACACTGAAAGTATATGCACCAAAGACAAATCCCTTGTGAGTCCAATCACACACTTGACCAATAAAGAATTCTATTCTGTTCTGTTCTGTTCTATTCTATTATTATATTATATCATTGTCTCTTCTGTTTCACATATAACTACAAAACCAAAATTTGGCTACCCTATTCTTAAAGATAAAAAAAAACAAAGAGGAGATTCCTTAAACCATTTTAATAGTCTTTGATGTTCTGCAATACAATGGAACTTCCTTCCTTCCTTCAGCCTCTATAATACAGAGAAACCTGTAAATTGTTGTTCTTTCCATTCTGCCCAAATGTTTTATAAAATATGTTTCTTAGCTTATAGTTTGCCCAGAATTCAGTTGACAAAGGCTTCTGAGAAACTTTGAATTCAAGGAAGAGGCAATCTGGATGTATATATTTTTCTTTTGTTTTAGCTTAAAAGGAACAAATATCCCAAATTAGAAATGTTTAAAAAGGGATTGTCCTGTATTTCAAGAGAAATCCAAAACATTGGCAAGTGAAGTGATATTTTTTTAAAAATGTTTTGTTTTGGCAACTTTGCTAAATCCATAGTTTTCAACATATACTTGGTACTTGGGATTTTAATTTTTTGCCATCATTGGAATAATTACTGCTTGGCAACCATTTACTCAGTCCAAGAAATGGCTAACTCTTGATTTTCTAAAAATAAAGAGAGAAAGTAGATTGTGATTACCTTTTTTTCATTGTTAGCATGTACTAGAAGCTAGTTTTCAGGCAATGAAGCCAGCATTTTAACTGCTTAGGCATTCTCAGGCATTCAAAAGGATACAGGAGTTTAGCTGCTGATGTCATATTGCAGATTTATATGGTATTTTATAATTTATAAAATTATATATACCATCTTTTACGGAGTATAAGACACACCTTTTTCCCTCAAAAAAGGGACTGAAAATTTGGGTGTGTCTTATACACTGAATATAGCATTTTTTGCCTCTTGAAACCTCGCCCCTTTTGCAAAAACGGCCATGCAGAGCCTGTAGGAGGCTTTCAGAGAGCTCCAGGGGGCTGGGGAAGGCAGAAACGAGTGAAAAATGGGCCGTTTTTTGCTCAATTTTGCCCCCCCCAGCCCCCAGGAGTACTCTATAAGCCTCCTAAAGGCTATGCATGCAGTTGTTTTGACAAAAACAGGCCCATTTTCATGAAAAAGGGTAATTTGTTTGCTCATTTTTTGAGGGGGCAACCCCCAGGAGCACTCTGCAAGCTCCCTAAAGGCTATTCATGCCTTTTGGGGGGGGGGGGAAATGAGCCCATTTTTGCAAAAAACATGCCATTTTTAGGAGGTTTGCAGAGTGCAAAAACTTTTTTTTTAAATTTGCCTCTTCAAAACCTTGGTGCGTCTTATACTCCGGTGTATCTTATACTCTGAAAAATACAGTAATCTATTTATGTATTTATCACGGGCATATTTCCGGCATTCTGGAACTTCTGGGAGACCCATTTCCCCACTCCCTGAGCTTCCATGCAGGCCCTGCACTTAGCTCGCATCCAAAACAGACCACGTGGAGAATCCTGGGATGGGTGGGGCAGGATGGGAGCGGCTAGCCAGGGGTGGGATTTGGAGGTTCTCTGAACTCTGCCGCTTTGAATAAGTCTTCTCTGCATTCACATAACAAACCTACCCAGCTTCCTCCTTCCCGTTTGTGCCCATACGGTTTGTTTTCCCCCCATGAGGTTCTGGGAAATTGAGGGGAAGATCAGGAGACAAACTCTGGAGTAGATATGCTGGTAGAGTATGCTTTCTGCCAAAAATCTCCTTCAGCTCTGGAAGATTCTAAGAAAGGCTTGCAGACTGACACAAAACCCCAAATGGGTAATGTTTTGATAAGCATTTGGGGAACCACCACCAGAAGCAAGCTTAGTTTCCTGATGGCCAGTGGTGGTTTATGACCAGTACACCCTGGTATGGGCATACCGGTGCTGCTGGGAGCATCAGGTACCGGTATGGTATGGTGCTCCGGAGGGCCCACCCCCCCGCCCCCTCTCCTTACCTGTATTTGACCCAACCAGGCTATTTGCACATGCGCACAGAGCGTACGGCGCCTGTGCGACACTCCGCCGAGCAGCTGGAGTGTCGTGGGTGGTGGGTACACATGCGCGCCTGTACATGGTGGACACCCGGTCCAGTTGCAGCATACCGGTTGCAGTGGGATCCGGAACCCACCACTGCTGATGGCTGACCATGTCCCATTCACACAAGCTCAACCAGGCTTCCCAATTCATAAGGAATGCCCTGGCTGTATTGCATCTAAACTTTATAGCTGAGGAAATAGAGATTGTTTTTAATGAGAAAGTAGTAACTGAAACTTGGCTTGCTTTCAGAGAGAAGTATCATGAGTTCTCCCAAGACTTCCACAGGGCCTTCTTGCAACAGGATAAACACAAAGAAGGCTGCATTTCGGTGGATAGCCTACGTAAGATACTGGAAGACTTTCAATGTAGCCTTGGCTATGAACAGTACAGTGAACTCCTGTACAGGTTGTTATATTTGACACAGCTTTAATGGAATTAGACTTATTTAGAAAACAACAGAATGTCTATACAATCAGCAGACTTAAGAACTTGGTCCAGGCTACACTCGGGATACCTGTGTTTCTTTACCTTGCTAACTTGAAGATGTATGAACTTCAACTCCCAGAATTCTCTTTTCCGGGAGTTAAAATCCACACATCTTCAAATTGCCAGGGTTGAAAAATCCTGGCTTAGAGAATTAGACCATCAGTCATCTGTTTGTTTGCCCTGGAACTCAATTATTAATCTACCAGTTTATTGATATTTCATAAGAACAACTGGAATATATTATTTCACTAATAGATTACCACATGCCACAAATGTTTTGCAACTGTACATACTATTTATAACCTTTGTCCTACAGACATAGTATCTGCACAATTTCAGCAAATCTCACTTTTATGGTGCTCAAGTGTAACGCCCTGCCACAAATTAAATATCTAGGAAATATCTAGAAATGACCTTTTAATTTAATTTTGGGATCGATTTCACATGTACTGCACAAAAACTGTTCCAAGAAACAGTCCAAGTATTTGCAAAAGTTCCAGAGAGTGCTTTTGCCTACTCTGGTTGGTCTGATAAGAAATACTCTTTTTATTTCTCGTTTCCTGAGACCACACAGTAATAATAATTCTTAAACTATTGTGGAAATACATGCATTTTGTATAGCAAAAGAACATGAAGCTTTTTGTGCGAGCCCAAGAACTGCGATAGCTAATTGAGGCAAACGGCACAAAGGAGCTGTTAAAAGTAAAATATACTTACCTTTCTATGCTAAAGTAGGCTTAAAATGGCATAAATTATTCAAGAATATGAGATTCAGGCAAATTTCACTCCCAAAGGAGTGAAATTCCAAAGAAGTATCTTTTATTCTGCTTTTAGAAAGATGACTGGAAAGAGAAGCCAAGCCTACAACAAAATCTTTTCACTTTACCTTAAATCGAGTGATTATGCTCCTTTGAATTAAGCTTGTAATAAGAATTTTTGCTGCCTGCTCTTATTCCTCAAAGACTTTTTGATGATAAATACTTCCATTCATTGTAATTTTTTTTTTGTAAACTAGTCCTTTCTAGACCGAAAAGAGCCTTTTCACTCCACTACCCTGCCTTAAATAATAGAGCAGATTAGCATATGCATTTTGGTTTTATTACTCAAATGTTAATACCGACTTGGCAATTTATTCCTCCCACTGAAGTGTGTTGATTATTTCCTTTCCCACTGTTTCTCTAGTATTTGACACGGGCCCATGGTAAGCATTGCAGCTGCAAGAGGCAAACACAATGCTCTCTAAAGGGCTATGGGGCACAGAACTGCTAATATTGGGGCTCTGCATTCTGCTGCTTTTATCTTTTTTGGGGGGGGCATTTCTGGCAATAGTTTTCCCACCCATCTAATATGCCATTCTGGCAATGATCATTTTTTGTTGTTGTTGAAAGAATGCTCTGCAACTATCCTTCAGTGAAAACCAAACAAACAAAAATATGCTGTTGGATTGCTTATCGGTGCAGTCAGGGATGGGCTTCAAAAAATTTAGCAAAGGGTTCTCTGCCCAGTTGCTGGATGGGCGTGGCCATGGTGGGCGTGGCCTAGTCAGCCTCATGCATCATGGGGGGGGGGATTTTTGCCCTCCCAGGCTCCAGAGACTTTCCTTGAGCCTCTAGGAGGGCGAAAAGGGCCCCAGAGGCCCTCTGAAGGCTGAAAACGGGCCTGTTTCTGGCCTTCCAAAACTTCTGGTAGGCCCATTTTTTGCCCTCCCTGAGCCTCCACTCACACTCTGCACTTTCCTGCATCCAAAACGGGCTGCATGGGGACTCCGGGGAGGGGAGGGGTGGGCATGGCCAGCCAGGAGTGGAATTTGAGGGTTTCTGTGAACCCCAGCAGCCCACCTCTGGGTGCAATCAATATAGCCTAAAGGAAGAAGTGACATCAATCTTGAGTGATGATGCCCTTAAATCAAGTCTGCTTCCAGGAGAGTACATGATAACCCCACAAAGGTAGGGGCATCACTTGGAAGTTATTTTTTCACCTCTAGCCTAAAGTTCTGGGATTCCCCACAGATGGTGTCCCATCTGTGTATTAATTAAGTCCACCAATTCACAGAAAGCCTGTTTCAGGATCATGTATCTTAGATAGATTTCCTATCTATTATGGTGGCTTGCACTTCTTGGATTTCGCAGTTCAAGAATGGGGCGCCTTGCCCAACTGGTTGAGTGTCTCCCAGTCAGCATTCATGCCAAACGGGGGGGGGGGGGACTAAAACTCATAGCTTCTTGGTTTCTAACCCAGCATCTTAGCCCCTAGACCAGTTTTTCTCAACCTCAGCCACAAAGATGTGCAGACCTCAACTCCCAGAATTCCTCAGCCAGCATGGGGAATTCTAGGAATTGAAAACAGCACATCTTAAAGTGGCTGAAGTTAAGAAACATTGCCCTACACCACACTGGCTCTCAGTTTAATGAGTGTATCTTTGGATCCAGCCATTAGTCACTGAGATATTATAGGTACTTAAGTTTAGATTCAGTTCTTTTCGTTGTCCCTAGGATTTTGTCAGGTAATTAGGATTTAATAGCTGCCAGCTGATGAAAGGTTGTAAGCTGTAAACTGGAAGCTGATGCAATGACTGTAAGATGATTAAATCAGGTGTCTATATATATAGGTGGCCATTAGGGGGCGTCCCTCTCTCTTGTCACATATCTCATTTTCTCTCCTTGAGTCAGAGCTGAGTGGTAAGGAATTTATCTCTATGTGCATGTCTGAATATATAAACCACTATTAATTGTAGAGAAGCTCTCTGTGCTATGTGCTCTGTATTGCTCCTGGGTTTATAATAATAGTCACGCTGCTAAAACTCTTGACAGGTTATGGTTTCAGTCCAGAGAGAGGTTCAGAGTGACTAGAGAGCTTAGAGAGAGGAGTTAACCCAGTGTCAGCTTGCACCAGAGTAAGTGGTGATTTTTATCCAGCACCAAGTTCCAGGAGATATGCAAGACAGAAATTCAAAAGCTAAACAATCAGATTAAATGTATGCAAATAGATAATTGCTTATTTCCTAGTATTGTAGCTGAGCGCTAAGAAAAACAAAAACAAAAGCGCAGCCTTCAGCTGGCAGGCAAGAGATAAACATGACTGCCAGCGCTAGCTAGCCATGTTGCAGCCCTCAAACGGTATCAAAACTGATACTGCATTATTAACGATTCGTTTAGAAATAATACTTAGGAAACAAATCTTCAGTCTTATTTTTCCCTCTTCAGTTTAGGAATTAATATACACGAGAACAAGCTCTCATATTTTGATTTCCTAAGACTTATTGATGACCGCGCAGCATTCAGATACAAGAAAAAACACACGGTGCCCCCCATACCACCCATCAGCTTTGTGCAACTCAGCATAGATGAAGCTATGGCTAAAATAAAACAGATGGTTACGGATTCTTCTGATTTGCTGTACAAGGTGAGTATTGTGCAATTGCTTCAATGCTCCCCATCCATGGCCACGTGGAGAAAGAGAAAATTTGGTGACCCAACTTGTGTTTCCAGGAGACGCCAGGCACATAGAAAATTGGGCCGGGCCAATGCATAAAAAGATTCCAGAAATGGTGCCAAGAAAGTGTGCCACGTTTCTGGTTTCTGTTGTATCAAGGAAGTATGTCTATTTGGTTGGTTATTACCTTTAAAGCCCTACATGGCTTAGGACCAGCATACCTGCGAGACCGCCTACTGCCACATTCCTCCCAACGGCCGGTAACATCCCACAGGGTGGGCCTCCTTCAGATGCCGACAGCCAGACAATGTCAGCTGACGGCTCCCCGGAGAAGAGCCTTCTCTGTGGCTGCTCCGACCCTTTGGAATGAGCTCCCCCCAGAAATCTGGACCTCACCCACTCTCATGGCCTTCAGAAAAGCTGTCAAGACCTGGCTTTTCCGGCAGGCCTGGGGCTGTTGACCTCATTGTTGAGGTCCAGCCCCGACTGAAATGAATGTATTTGTGTTGTTTTTAACTTGTCTTATTTTATTTTTATTTTATTTTATTTCCTTTCTTTCCCCTTTCTGTAAGCCGCCCGGAGTCCTCCGGGATTGGGCGGCCTATAAATAAAATTAAACTTAAACTTAAACTTAA